CACCTTTTCTTGGCAGGAAAGAGTGCTGTTTGGGGAGCATGTGCTAAAGGAGGGGTGTAGGTTTTGAGGTATACAGAAAAGGACGGGGGGCAGCATGCATCCTGGGTTTACCTGGATGTTTACCTGCTGACTTTGGCCAAACCCTTTACTTTATAGAAGAGTAACTGAAGAGAATGGAGACTAGAATGATTTCCTTGCTCTAATAATTCACGGCAGAGGTGGAAGTGGAACCCAGACCAGTGTTCTTACAGGTGGTCCCCAATGGAATAGCCTGAATCACACTGACCTTGGGTCATCTTTGTTTGTCTGCCTCTAAAATGTGGACCCCTCCCTCCTGATCCAGGGTGGGAAAGGCCAGGACGCACACAAAAGTGCAGCAAGAGCTGCTAGCAAAGGGCAGGCAGCAATAATAACTTGCAGCTGTGCTGAGTGACAGCACTTCTCCCAGATGCTGCAGATGGAGAGGGAAGACTTGAGCCCATTGTGCAATTTCCTGGAGGCGTGTCAACTTTCACCTCCAGAGGCAAGAATGAGGAACTTGGGGTAGGAGGAACTGGCGTGGAACATCACATCTGAAGTGCAGATGGAAGGTAATGCATGCATGGTACAGGATGTGGAATCCACTGGCATGTGAATCCCGTGACCGATGGCTAGTTCTCTGAGCTGGTCCAGCAGGTAGATCCCTCAAAGGAGTCCCCGCTGAGTGCACAGTAGGCTCTCCATCAGTATTAGCTGATCAGACACATCATGTTTCCTCTTCTCTCTGGGATTTTGCACATGTGGACTTTTCTGCTTAGAATATTTCTGCATTTTCTCTCCTCATTAACAGCTCCCCTGCCCTCCTGTATTCAGAGAACGCATTCTCTGACCTCCCTGAGGGTGTCAGGGACCCTCTTGGGGATGTCCACCACACTCTACACATGACCCATCAGCACTTACTGCTCTGGGCTCTGGTGGCCTTTCTTCTGGACTAGACTAGGGTTTCCTAAGAACAAAGCCCATAAATTATTTGTCTCTACATCCTCAATGTTCGCCTTCAAAGAATAAATTCTGGCTAACTTACTAAATGAAGTTCCCACTCCCTCCATTCACGACTATGAAAAAGAGCCCTCCAAAGAGCACCAAAGCAAATGCTATTTTTTTTTTTTCAAAGTACTACAATACTGGATTAAGAATAAAATTACCAGGGCTGGGGTTGTGGCTCAGTGGTAGAGCGCTTGTCTAGCACGCGTGAGGCACTGGGTTCGATCCTCAACACCACATAAAAATAAAATAAAGGTATTTGTTCACCTAAAACTAAAAAAAAATATATTAAAAAAAACCAAGTTACCCACACAAAGTTTTGGTATTAAACACTGACATCAAGTGTAAGAAGAACCCCCCCTTAGAATACACAGTGCCCTAGAGTGAGAATGTACTTCCTGCGCTGCCTGAGCCCCACCGCCTGTTCCCTAAACTCCATGGCTATGTGGCCAAAGCTTTTCTAGCTCAGTTTTGTCTTGTACCAGCAACAGGCAGGCGTGGGCACCATGACCAGATAGTTTAACCACAGCTTCAGGATATGAAAAGGGGAGGGGACAGAGGGCTTCTACCTTTTCTAGGGTGGGGCTGCCCTTCCTATAAAGAACAGAAACTCAGGCCACCTGAATGACCTGTAATTTCACTTTTTTTCTGACCGATTTTATTCCCAATTTATCTCATTCTAAAAAAAAAAAAAAATCCTTTGAGATAATTGTCATTTCTTCAGGATTTTTTGGAGTTGGGGGGTAACCAGGGATTGAATCAGGGAGCCCTTAACCACTGAGCCACATCCCCAGCCCCTTTTGTATATTTTATTTAGAAACAGGGTCTCGCTGAGTTGTTTAGGGCCTCACTAAGTTGCTGAGGCTGGCTTTGAAATCGTGACCCTCCTGCCTCAGCCTCTAGAGCTGCTGGGTTTACAGGTAAATGCCACCGCACCCAGCCCCTGAAGGATTGCAGTCTAGTTCTATGATCTTGGACAAGTGCCTTTCAATCTTCTTGAGTCTCAGTCTCCTTGTGTGTAAAATGGGGATAACAGTGACCAAACTAGATCACTGTGATTTTCCCCCAGTGCCAGAGACTGAGTCTGAGGAAGGTAGGGCTCCACGACTGGGCTGCCCCCCAACCCCGTCCTATTGTGATCTTAAAATTCCTTACTATGTGAGGAGAACCTAGCCCACGGTACACAGTAGGCATACAAAAAATGAGGACTCTCCACCATAATGCCCAGAGAATAGAAAAGTTCTAAGAGGTCTTTTTTGGGGGAAAAAAGGAGGAAAGAGGAAGACATCAGGGTTCTAGAAACTATTTTACAGGGAATTCAGATGGCAAAACAGACAAGAGCCATGGGGACCTCTGAGATTTCCACCATGCTTGTATCTCCCATGCAGGCTGACTTCATTTAGGTCAGCGGTTCAATCTTTTAAATGAAAACGGCCCAAGCACTTATTTAGGGTCCGATTTGGGGAGAAAGGGAAAGAAACTAAGAGACAAGAGAGAAATGGCTTAGTAGAGAGAAGAGCTGGAATGTCTGAGGGTCAGCAGAATTGAAAGTAGGAACGTTGTAAGCTTGACAAGAGAACAGAAAGCCTCATTTTGAGGAGTTCTGTAACCCCTCAGATCGGAGCAGACCATTCCTCATTCCCCACCCCCTGCTCCAGAGCCCTGGCCCATGGTGCCAGCATCACAAAACACACCAGTTTGGGGAATGCTGTTAGTACTCTGGACGGTTCCATGACCTTATTGGTGTAACCTGATCTAGACATCCCGTTACTAGGATGTGTAAAAGACACCCGATTCTTTCTGTGACAGTGTGGTTATCCTAAACCTCCTAAGACATGAGTACAAAGAGAATCCCAGCCTCTGGCCTCAGTCCATACACGAAAAGAGTAAAGTTGCCTGAATCTGGGTCAGAAGGGAAAGATGCCTTTTGGGGACAGAGGAACAATTACTGCTTGCCTGACCATTTATCCACAGGGTGGTGGTTCTCAACCTTGGCTGGGTAGCAGTCACCTGGACACCTGCAGAGCTTTAAAAAACACAGATGCTCCAGGCCATCCAACCCAGACCTACTACGTACTTCACCTGAAGAACCACAGGTGACTGAACTCTGAAGCCAAAGTTGACTACAAAGCTTTGTGGAAATGTTTTGAACTTCAGGGAAATCACTAGGGTTTTACACAAGGAGACAAGAGAACTTGTCTTTTTCTTTCCAAGCAGGAGCTGCAGAAGACCGTTCAGCTTTGGCCCCCTAAGAGGAGTGACTCAGGAGGCAAGGGCACTTAGCCATTTAAAAATTCCCAGGCCTTCCTCATTGTCAGAGTAGAACTCAATAAAAGGTATATTTCTTAGTGAAATTAGACTCAGATTTTAACTAACGTTATGGGAGCACTGTTTTGTGGCTAGTCCTGCCCCAGACATATAAATCCCATGAGACATCACATCCTTCTTGCCTGAGGTGCACTCCTGGAAATGGAGGAGTGCTCATGAGAGCTTCCACCCCTCTGCAGCACAGACCTCAGGAAGACGTCCTCTCTGGTGCTATGATTTATTACCTACAATCAAAATACAACTTGGGGTTTATTGTCTTCTTTTTTCCCCTGTGATGCTAGGGAATCAAACTCAGGCCCTCCTGCATGCTAGGCAAGTGCTCTCCCACTGAGATCCACCTCCAGCCCTGATGTGTCTTCTTGCTATTCCTTTTAATTGCTCTAAAGGTAGATGCAGTGACGTTGAGTGTATGACATGAATTTATCTGCAGCTTTTTCTCTCTGCCTGTCAAAATATCTAGCCTGTATTTTAACTTTATTACAACAATTCCATGTTTGCCCATCCTTTGTTAAACAATCAAACTGTTAGGAATCTTAAGATTTGTGCACATTGCACTGCAGGGGAATATGCAGGTGGTTTTTGGTGGAGAACATTGAATTACACTGAGCTTAGTCCTATGAGCCATTTTTAAATACAATGAAACTGAGGCTCAGAGAAGTTCAACAACTTGTTGTTGGACACACAGAGCTAGGACAAGTCAAAGCAAAGATTTAACTCCAAGTATTCTGATTCCTAGGTTTGTACTTTTGCTTTAACACCACTTCAGCAGCCTGAACAGCCCTTTTGAATGGCTAGTTATTTATGTGCAGATTTATTAATAGTTGACAACTCACATACTGTTTTTTATCAGCCACACATGCAAAACCCACTAAGATCCAACAGCATTTTACGAGGAGGACATGATCATAAAAGTAGAAGGCTCAGAGAGGTTGAATGATTTGTCCAAAATCAAACAGCTACTAAAGGGTTGAACTTGTATTTGACTTTAGGTCTGCAGGGCTTGGAAACAGCTCTTTTTTTTTTTTTTTTTTTTTTTTAAATGAGGCCAAGATGGTGCAGTGGAGACAGAGTCAGAAGCCATGGATTCTAGTCCCTTTCCAATCATTCATTAGCTGTATCACTTTGGACAAGTTCCTTGCCCTCTGTAAAATGGAAATAATTTTAAGTAATAATTTAACTGAGACATGAAGATCCAATGGATGTAAAAGTATTCTGAAAAACCCCTCTAAAAATTGAGATAGGAAGAACTAAGGTGCGCTAGTCAGCGAGTCTGTCACGTATTGGATGTATGACATTGGTCAAGCAATTTGACCCAATGCCTCAGTTTTCTCATCTGCAAAATGGGAGTAAATCCAGTAACTAACGTGGTTGTGGCAATTAAACTAGAACATTCATTTAAACACAGGACTGCCCGACACAATACTCAGGAATGGACGTTAGCCTTGACCATTCTGACTGTGCCTCTCTGGTCTTCAACTATCTCGAAGCATGGACTTCTTTAAAGCTATTAAAGGCGCCCTGGGCTTCAGTTTCGGTCTTACTACTCTCTGCCCGCTTCCTCGGACCCCATCTCTCCCCTCCCAATTCAAAGCCCACCTCAAACCCCTTCGGATAACCCCGTCCCCTCCGGGATTCGCGCCGTCTCTTACTCGACGACCTTGGCTGGATCTCCGTGGCTCCCATAGATTAGCGCCCGGACCCGGGAGGCTTGAGCAGATGCGGAGTAAGAGGCAGCACCACCGTGGCGGCGGCAAGGTGCTAGCACTCCCGACTGCAGTTGCGACCGGGCTCGCGCCCCCAACAGCGCGCAGCGGACCCACATGCTCCTTCCAGCCTGCACAGCACTCGGCGCACGCGGACACGTCATCTTCCCTCGACCGCGCGCCTGCGCCCCGCCCCTCGCCCCGCCCCGCCGAGCGACCACGCCCCAAAAGCCTCTTTAAAGGACCTTCTCCTCCTTCTGCCCGCCGCGCGGGGGCGCCTGGTGAGACCTCGTGGGAACCAGAGTTGGGCAGTGCAGGAACCTGCTGGAGTTGCAGTTTTTTCTGAGCCCTCCAGGGCTGCTTTTCCAACTTGAAGAGTCTGGGACTGGCCTACTGCTATGCCTTCAGCCTGCGCTTTGTTCTTGGGTTTGGGAAAGTCATTTTCTCTCCCTCGGCCTCAGTTTCCTTTTTCCACGATTTATTGAGAGCACACTGTACCAGGCTTGTGTGTGGCCAGGCTTTTTAAAGTACTATTTTTGTGTAATCCGGAAAGGAACAGAAAGGTAAAACTTACTATATTGAATGGCGATGATAAGGAAGCAGTAGTAGAAGTAGTTAGAAGACTTAGGTTCAAATCCTAGCAGTGCCACTTTCTAGTTTGCTAAAATGGAGATAATAAGCTTCATGTCAAATTGTTGTGAGCATTGGATGCAATTCTTCTATTAGGAGAATGTCGTGGACACAGGAGACATCATAAAATGTTAAGTGTGTTCTGACAGATAAGGGAGGAATCACCAGGAGTGTGCCTTTTCAAAATGCTCATAGTGTAGAGATTAAGTGGGAAACTGGAAATTCTTTGTAAAAAGGTATAGCCCTTTAAAGATGCTAAGTTCTTATTTTTGGTGGAGAGAAGACATGAACGTAACTAAAACCCGAGTTGAATGTTAGCACATGCCAGAGTGCACTGCTTTAGTCTGAAGAAGAGATGTGCTGGGGGGAGGAGGCTGAGGGTCCTTGGAGGAGGTGCTATTGAAGCTGCCCTGTGTCTCAGAATCCTCTGTGCATAAAATCATGAGAGGTCCCATTCAGACCCACTGAATTAGAATCTCAGGGAGAGGACTGGGAGCATACACCCCTACAAGCTCTCAAGAGTATTATGATGCAGGTGGACTAAGGAATAGGCTTTGAGACAGTCAGGGCTTTAAAGGAGAAGGAAGAGGTCCTTTATATGGATTTTGGTGACCTGAAATTCTAGACCCTTTCTGTTGAGGCTGGCACAGCAGAGTACAGTGATGTGGAAACTGGATTGTGGCAAATCTGGCTTTAAGTCCTGGCTCTGTCATTTTGAGCTATTTGATTTTGGGCAAGTCACCTGGTTTCTCTGGCCTTCATTTTCTTATAGTTAAAAATCAAGGGAATAGAGCTAGGGATGTGGCTCAGTTGTAGAACACTTGCCTAGCATATGAGAGGCCCTGGGTTCAATCCCCAGCACTGAAAAACAAATAAAACAAAACAAAAAACCCCCAAACACCTAAAAATTGTGGGATTAATAGTTATCTGTTTCATTGTAGATAAAATGAAATATTATTCACTTGAAGCATTTAGCACAATGCTTGGCACATGGAAGCATTTGAAAACTATTATTAGGGAGTTATTGTAAAGATTAAATGAAAATATCATATGTAAAACATGGAGTAGGGTCTGGCTCATAGTATGCTCAATAGATAGATGTCTGCACTTGTTTTTATTCTTAGAGAAGGAAAATTCATGTCCAGCAGGGGGGAAAGACTTGATCCTATAGTTGTATGAAAGCCCCCCCCCCACACACACACACACTGTGCACACAAAATCTTGTCCCACTGACCTATTTTTACGGTGACACACAGGCCTACCAAGACTGTTGTAAGACTCTTTAGGTGACATTGAGCTGTTGACATTATCTTTTCCACCACATTGGCTCCCCTGAATCTCTGGGCAGCCCAACTAGGTAGGCTGGAGAATCATCCAATAAGTCTTCTTCCTTGTGGCTCAATTTTCTCTCTTTGCACCTTCCTATAGCCCTTGCTTCTAGTCTAGGCCCTCTGGGTTCCCCCAGGGGCGCAGTTTGAGAACCACTAATTGAAGGGCTCAAGTCCAGTTGTCCAGACCTTGCATTCAAGACTCTTTGCACCTTGACTCCCACCCTGTCTTTGCAGCTTTCTCTGCTGTTGGAGTGTGCACTGCCTAGGATCCAACTGTACCTCAGACTCACCTGTGCCAGTACTTTCTTGTCTTATGCTTCTTGAAGGCTGTTCCTTCTGCCTGAATTTCCTGCCTTACCTACCTGGAAAACTCCAGGTTCAGATATCATTTTATTGAGTCCACCCCTGCTGCCTTTGTGTTTTCTCTGGACCACCTTTAGGGCACTGTCTCATTTATTGATGCGCCCATGTCCTGCTCCAGGCACATGTAGGGCCATGTTTGGTTCATCTCCATGACACCAGTGCTCAATATGGGGCCTGGCACAGGGTAGGCATCATAAATATTCCATGAGTTGCAGGTAATTGAATTTCCTCATGGCCTGGCACAGACGGTAGTGCCGTCTCCCTTTCCCTAGATTTGGGCTGGTTACTGAGGGCTTGGGCATTCTTTCTTCCTTTCTTGTTCTTCTCTTAAGGATTATAGAAATCTGTGGTCTTTTTAAAGTAAAGCAGAATTTCTCTTTTCATCTGGCCACCTGTTGCTCGTACTGCCTTTTCTTCTCCCATCATAGTCTTTGCTGCCTTTCCTGGCACAAGGAGCAAAGGGATGTGGAATCAGTCAGATCTGGATTGAAGTCCTGGGCTCACCATTTACTAGCTGTGTGACCTTGGCCAGTGCCTCATGCTCTCTGAAGCCTCAGTTTCCATACTTATAAAATGAGATCACCAATAAGCTCCTGTAACTGGTTCCTTTCAGAATTCTTTGCAAACACCATCCTTGGCTCTTTCTTCTGTTCATCAGTTTTCTCTCTTTTTCTGGGTGGCTCTGTCTCTTCTCTACTCCAGCATCTATCTCTGTTTCTTATTCCAATCCTTCTTTCTTTCTTTTTTCTTATACATAATTTTTAGTTGTAGTTGGACATTTATTTATTTTTATGTGGTGCTGAAGGATGGAACCCAGTGTCTTGCACGTGCTAGATGAGCTCTCTACCACTGAGCCACAACCCCATCTCCTCCAATCCTTCTTTCTTTGCTCTGCTTCTGTTCCCCTGTGACTGACTCTCTCATTCTCTTTGTAGTTGCTAAGAGAGTTGAAGCCAGGGGTTCTTTACCTCCCCATCCCTTTTTAATTATTTATTTTGAGACAGGTCTTAATACGTTGTTTAGGACCTTGCTAAGTTGCTGAGGATGACCTCAAACTTCCAATCCTCCTGCCTCAGCCTCCTGAGTTGCTGACAAGGCTGTGCCACCATGCCCAGTTCCCATTGTTTCTTGTATGACCTGGGGGACATGTGGACCTCTCCAGCTGAACCTGACTTCGCTGTCCTCCCCACTTACTCAATTCCAGCTGCCCTGGTCTCCTTGTCACTCCTCAAACCCACCAGCTTCTGTCTTTGCATGGGTTGTCTCCTCTGGCTGCAGTATTCCTCTCTACTGATTTGCATGAGGCCGGCTCTTCTTATACATTAGATCTCAGCTCCAGTATCACTTGGCATAATGTCACTTTTTCCATGAAGCCCTTCTGGACCACCTTGTCTACAGTATACCCTCCCTACTCTGTGTTCTTTACCACAGCACTCTACCCATTTCTTTTAGTGTGCATATCACAGGTTGTGATTATATATTTATGATTGCTGTTGGTCTCCCCCACTAGAATGTAAGCTTCACGAAGACAAGTACCATGTCATTTAGCATTTATTCATCCATTCAGGATTTATTGAGCACCAACTATATGCCAGATACTAGGCATTGGGATACAGAACAAAATCTTTCCCTAAGGACTTTGGGAGCTCAGGTTTTAGAGGTGAAGAAAAATGATGAAACCATGAAATCATAGGTACTCTATTTAGAACTACAAAAATTCTTTTCCCCTTAGTGTTCATTCTTCCAAATTTTCTGGTCTGTGAGATAGTGATAAGGGATATATGTCAGAAAATTTGCTTTTTTTCACCTTTTTTTTGTTATTGTCTTCCCACTGAAAGGTAAACCCCATGAAGATAGGGATATATTTTTTTTGTCAGTTTTATTTTTCTATGATTATTTTCTATAGTAATTGTTGAATAAATGACTTAGTACCCCATAGGTATTTGTGAAGTGAAGGGGTTTCCAGATGGTAGGCAGTTCTCAGCTCCTTTTTAGTTCAAGCCAGACAACCTTGATTCAAATCTTGATGGTGCCTAAAACTAATTTGTAACCTTGGAAAAGGTCTCTGTCTCTGTGCAATTTGCTCCACCGTGTAATGGGAATACAGTGGTATAAGCCTAATAGGGTTAGGGTGAAGGTTAAATGATGGGGGAAAGCACATACAGGTGCTTGGTTTTACATAGTAATGGGCAATTAGTTTGCTGATTATTGAGCAAGAGCTTTATTGGAGGAGGCTTAATACTTAACCTGTGTAGCCAGAGGGTAGAGCAGGACCAGTGAGGGTTTGCAAGGGAGGTGGACTTCATGTCATGGAAAGGAAGAGTGTTCTAAAAGCCCGCGTTTCCAAAGGCCCAAAGATGGCTCTTGGCAGGTGATGAGCACCCTCTAAGTATGAATGTGCATTTAGAGGGGCCAAGGTAGAGAGAACTCTAGCTTCGGATAGGACAGAGAACCAGGTGTCCCTGAATCAGTCCCTGAGAACTCTGCGAGAGCAATGAGGGTGCTCGCTTGAGAACGTTGGTGCCCGGTAAGTGCAGAACAAGTGGGCGTCCAGTCCAGGCCACCCGACCTCCGGCAGGGGTGCCCGAGTGGGGGAGGGGTGTGCCGGGGCTAGCCGGGCAGCAGCGCGCGCCTCCGCCAGCAGGGGGCGCGCCGAGACCGCGGAACGCTGGGCCGGGCCTGACGTCAGCGCCCCGTTCGCTCCGGCTCCCGCTCTGGACTCCGCGCCAGTCCCGCTCTGCGCCGCGCTGCTCCGCTCCGGCTCCGGCTCGCCTCGGGCTCGGCTCGGGCTCAGGCGGCGGCGCCCCCCGCGCCGGGCCCCGGGGCAGGCGGCGGCGTAGCAGCCATGGCCCGCGCCCAGGCGCTCTTCCTGGCGCTTACCTTCCAGCTCTGCGCGCCCGAAACCGAGACTCCGGCAGGTAAGCGCGCGGCGGTCGGACCCAGCTTGCCCCGTGAGCCCCCGGGGCCCGTGGCGCAGCTCGGAAGAAAGTGTGAGTGTTGGGTGCCCGCGCGTTACAGGCGTGCTCCCTGTGTGTGCCTGAGTGTAAGATGTAAGGTCGTGTGTTCGGGGGTGTTGTGTGACTGCGAATGTTGTGTGTCCGTAGTTCTCTGCAAGAAGAGGTGCTGTGTGTGTTGTTTGCGAGGATGTTGGGGTAGATGTTGTATACATCGAGGTGTCGATTGTGCGCTGTTTTCTGTGCCTGCCAGGGTATAGCGTTCGTGCGGCCAAGTAGGTTGTGTGTGCATTTGAGTTTAATTTTGTGGCCGGAGTTGTATCTGCTAGTGTGTTGCATTTGTTTGCATTTGGTATGCTCTGGCCGGGAGTGCTGTTTGTTGTGTGTCTGAGAATGGGTTGTGTATGTTTTTTTGCGTGTGTTGCGAGTGCAATGGATCCCGCCCGAGTGTAGACCCGGGAACGCATGTGTGATGTGTGTGCTTGTGAGATCCGTGTACGTGTGGAGGCGTGGGAACGGGTCCGGAACGTGTGTGCGGGTGCGCGGTGTGTACGTGTGGGAGTGTCTGGGTGTGTGGTGCGCCCCGCCGGGGGCTGTGTGGGTCCGAGTGAATGCCAAGTGTGCGGGGAATGCGTGTGTGGGAGCGTGTCTGGAGCGGATGTGAGTGTGCGAGTGTGTGTGTCGGTGCGCGCTGGCAGCGTGTCCAGGAATGCTGCGAGTGTGGTGTGCGGCTGGGCCGCGGTCGAGTGTGCCCAGGGCTCGAGGGGGCAGGGGTGGTGTGTGCGTGCGCGCGCGGCGCGACGGGCCGGAACAAGTTGTCGCGGCGGTGGCCCTCGGCGGCGCGGGTCGGTGGGCGGGAGGCCCGAGAGGGCGGGCGGGAGGAGGAGGGCTGGGGCCCGCGGCCGGCAACTCCGACATGTCGGGCTGTTTGTTGTTTCGCAAGTTCGGCGCGGCGCTGGCTGGCTGCTGATCCGAGGCGGCGCCGGGGCCGCGGGGCGCCGGGCTGGGAGGGGCCGGCTGCGGGGGGCGCAGGCGGCGGTGGCTGGGCGGGGCTGCGGCGTCGGGGCGCGGGCAGGGCCTGGCCGGCGGCGGCGGGACGGCGCCCCCTCCTGGGGCGCACAGGGGTCCGCCGCGGTCTCCCGGGACGCTCCCTCGGTCGGCTCCGCAACTTTGTGCTGCCTCGGGGCCGGCCGGGCCTGAGTGTGTGTACGTGTGTGAGTGAGTGTGAACGTGTGTCTCTGAGCTCTTTCTGCTGTGTGGCCGCGTTCTTTGGGTGGGCTTTCGGAGTCTGGTGTCTTTTTTGGAGTGGCGGTGTGATTGCGGGTCTGAATGTGTATGCAGAGCTTGGGTCTGTGTCCAGTGCGCGTCGGAGTGTCTTTTGTGGACCATGTGTCGGGCGTGCCTGCGTATGCCTATGGTTTTGTGTCCCTTTGCTCACCCCGAGCACGGATCGCAGGCCGTCGTCCCTCTCCCGAGGCCTTCCGCGCTCGCGCTCGTGGCCCTGCCGCTGGGTGCGGAGTAACCGGGAGATGCCCGTGGGATCCGGCCGAGACCCGCGCCAGGGCTGACTTGGCCCCTTGGAAGATTCCTCCTGACCGCCTTCCTCGGACATTTATGACCCCACCGCCTGCTTGGGCGTCTTGGGACGGAGCTCCCCGGTCACCGGGCTGGCTGGCCCTGAGCTTGGGCCTTGCCCTGCAGCTCTGGGGTCATCACCCGCAGATTTAGCTTTGACTTCCTGATACCCAAGAGGGTGGCTTAAGCGACAAGCCTCCCGATCCTTTCCCAACTCCTCCCCCATGCCCTGCGGCGATTTTCCCCTCCCCCACCCCAGATCAAACCTGCGGGGTATTCTACATTCTCCCACCCCCACCACCGTCACCTTGATTTCAAGAACATATCCTAGTGGGTCCCAACTCCTGGCACTGGGGATTGTCAGGATAGGGGTTTGGGAGAGAAACCTAGAGCGACTTACTTCCATCCCTGAAGCCTCAGTTTCTAATCTGCCTGGTGGCCTTAAGGATGCTGCAGATTGTAAAGTAAGGCTCTGTCTATGAGGGCCAGGTAACATAATATGGGTTTGAAGGTTGTCTGTGATTTGAAAGCCAGAAACTGTGATTTGAAGCCAGAGGGACCTGTGTTTAAATTATGCCGCTGTACCCCAGGGTCCCTGGCAGTGTGAGCTTGGGCAAGTCCCTTCACTTCTCAAGTTCCCAGCTCCTGCCTGCCTCTTGCATTTCCTGTGTTGTTTCTCAGCGAATTACTGCAAACCTGGCAGTAATTTATTCCATTGTGCTCCAGCTCATTTGTCCTTTTGGTCACTGGAATTGTGGACAGCAGGAATGAGGGCGAGGCGGCCCAGTGGTTTCAGGTTGGGCAATAAAGGCTTGTCTGAGCAGCCCACCCGTCTCCCCAGGGCTGCAGAAGGGATCTCCAGAGGAAGCCACAAGAGTGGCCGGGGAGGGGACTGTGAGCTCCTGGCAGCCTCCTACCTATTTCTGGTAGCTGGGACATCTAGGTTGGGTACCTGCTTGTTGGAGGCTCCCATCCTTCCACACTATCGCCACCCAAGCTGGGCTGGTGGGGTGGCCTTTCCTCAGGGGCGGGTCAGCTAGAGTTGCAGGGTGCCTGTATCGCCCTCCTCCTTTTGCTCCCTCCTCCTGGCCACCCTGTTTGCATCCTGTGCCCTATCCTTGTGCCCTCTCTGATCTCCCATCTGTTCCCTTTCCTCCATCCTTAGCCATCTTTCCCCAGCAGGAAGTCTCCATCCTTTTCCCTTCACGGTGCCTGGGTTCTTCCTCAAAGGCATGTTTTAAACCCTGGCCAAGAACCCTCAGAAGGCTCCCCTTGCCTTCAGGGTTAAGTCCTTCTTCTGTGGCTCTATGGCTTGCTCTAGCTCCTGGCCTGCCTGTCCAGCCCCATCTTGTTTTTGATCCTGTGTCCTGGCCAACCCGACTCCCTCACCAACAGCGTGCTGAATGCTTGCTGCCCGCCCACTCCTCTCCACTCCTTGACCATATCGTGTTCCTCCCCAGACTGACTCTCCCACTTTGCAGGTCACCCCTGCAACTTCAGCTCAGATGTCACTTCTTCCCTGACTCCTTCCTTGGTTATTCTGTCCTAGACCAGGGGAGGTGGGAGTTGGTTGGATTTTACCCAGCATTGTAATTAGCATTTATTAGTTCTGTCTCCCTTAACTAGACTGTGAGCTCCGTGAGGACAGGGACTGGACACTTCAGAATCCTTAGTGCAGGTGGGAGGCCTGGACCACCTAGTCTAAATAAATATACGTGGCCTGAAAGAATGAGTGAAATCAAGTGGGTCAGGATCCAAGCTGGAGATGCCAGGTGGGGGCGCACTGATTCCACTGAAGGTGGAGATTAAAGAAATAGGTTTTCCCTCTAAGAATCTGGAAAATTCTGCGGGGGGGCTGGTGTTATGTCATGAAAAGGCCAGTGTCACCTGGGAATTGAGTTGAGGAGGTTAAGACCCTGGCAGAGACTAAAGGGAGCAGATCTCTTGCCTGCCCCTCCCCCAGGCTCCCTGCTGGGCACCCCCTCCCCCACCCCCGGCAGCTGGCAGGGCCTGTCCAGTTCCCAGACTCAGCCCTTTGTAATGAGGCCTGGGCCGTTGTTGAGGCTTCGGGGAGTCCTAACGGTCAAACTGAGCGTCTGAGGAGGAGGGCAGAGGGGGAGGACCCTACATTGGCAGACCCTCCTGCAGTCCCCAGTCCCAGATTTTGGGATGGGCTGGTGAGGTTATAGCCCCTGTCCTGGTGTGGGTGGGTGTGGCCCTGGCATCCAGGCAGCCAGAGTGGGGTGTGTGTGTTTGGGGGGGTGGTGATTGAGGCTGGGACACAGGACATATGTGTGGCTGGTCAGGGTGGCTTGCCCTCTGGTCACCTGGCCTGGTGGGACCGGGGTTTGGAGTCAGGGTAGTGGTGACCAGCTGCAGTGATACCCGGAGCCTGATGTGAGGGTTTCTGGAGATCAAGCCTCACGTTCCCTGAGTTGGTGCAGCGCTGTCTGGGTGGGTGGTGTCTCACTGTGTGGATGTGGGTGTGGGAGCTTCGGGGGTGCACAGGATAGGTTCTGTTTCAGCTGTTTAGAGCTGGCTTGCCCAGTGGACTTTCTACAGTGACAGGAGTGTCTGCCTGCGCTGCAGTACAGTGGCGCTAAGTCACATGTGGCTATTACATTTAAGTTAGTTAAAATTAATTAGAATCAGAATTTCACCGCTCAGTTGTACTAGCCAGATTTCAAGTTCTCAAGAGTAACTTGTTGCTAGCAACTATGGTCGTACTAATTAGCGCAGGTGGAGGACATTGCCACCCTCGAAGGGGGTTCTGTGGACAGCACTGGGCTAGAGGGGGAGGCCCCCAGCAGCTTAGTGAGGCCTGGGCTCCTCAGCGAGTGGAATTCGTCTGCAGGGACCGTCACTCAGTGGTTCTTGGGTGGTTACCTTTCCCTGGCCTCATTATTTCTCACCTGGACGATGGCATTAGATTCTTATTGGTCTCCTTTCTGCCATTGGCCTCTCTCTGCAATGCCCCCACCACTCTGTGACCAGAAGCCCTTTCTAAGGCAGACATGTAGGGTGCTGCCACTCCCTTGCCCCACACTGATGGCTTCCTGGCACCTGGGGCCACACATGGCAGGCAGGGACCTGTGTGAACAGCCTGTCCTCCTAGACCCCTCTCCCACCCAGCTGCCTTTTGATCCAGATAGATCCTTGTGATCCCGGAGGCTGCTGTGCCCTTCCACACCTCTCTGCCTTTGCCCAGTGTGACTGCTGTTGCTGTTGTTGGCCCCCCCCCCCCCCAGTCCAGCTCTACTGTCATTTGCACAGTGAAGCCTTCCCAGTCTGCTCCTGGGGCTGTAAGTCAGGTTCCTTCCTAATGCACGTATGACCACGTGCGGCCCTTGTTTTCTCTCTCCTTTCCCCACTAGACCAGGAGCCCCTTG